CCTCCTCCTCCTCCTCCTCCTCCTCCTCCTGCAGCGTGGCCAAAGGGGGGCGGTCCTCGAAGTTCTAGCGCAGCATCTGGTGCCGCACCGTGGGGACGAGACCTCTTGCCTCGTGCAACTCCAGCGGTCGACCGCCGAGACGTGAGGACATAGCCCGTATCTCATTGTAAAGGAAATAAGCTGTGGCAGGAACTCTGAGAGACGACTCTGTGGGCATCAAAATCCCGAACCGATCCAAGGGGAGCGGGGCGAGGGGGCCTGACAAAGCCTCAAGGAGCGTGCCGAAAATGGGGCAATTCCAATAATGTGCGAACGCGTCCTCTCCGCCTAAGTCGGGGGGACACCCACAGAGACAATGCGAATTTGCAGACTGTTGGAACCTACGTTGAGTTAACCAGTTCTTCGAGAGCGTCCTAGCGGCAGCGGCCGAAAGAGCCACAGGCAAGGAAGCAAGAGCGGCCTGCACGGCAGACCAGTCCACGGTAAGGATACGAGCCCTCTCCTCAGGGAGCATATCTAACAGGCGCCTGGAAAACAATTCACCTAACGAGTTGCTATACATACAGTCAGTCAGTTTATTTACAATCATGCGCTGGATTTTCGGACGGGGGCCTCTCACGGAGCTCTGAAGATGCTGTGCCTGAAGCGCACGAACCTCAGACATCAGGGGTAGCATTTCGTTTCGCAGCCTATCTGGGAAATGGACTCCACTGAACGCGTCAGACATGTGCTGGCACAGAGCTGGGGTCTTCCACCACGGCGGCGAATGCTCTCGACGCAGCACCGACACGTATGGGCGGTGACGGACAGCAGCACGATGGAGCCACTCAAGAGACTGGCGCCATTCAAAGGTCGAAATAGCCGCACGAGCTCTAGCCGCCATGCAAGTGACTGGCAACGAACGGATCCTCGGACCTCCCCACTCCTGCCATCTATACCACGCCCCATGAGTAAACCCGCAATATGGCATGTGAAAGACTCTGGATAACATGGCAGCTTCGTGGCGGGCGAGCTCGCGCGGAGCAGGAATGAATTGAGCGATGTACGACATCACCGATGATGCACGTGTTGAGTAGAGGTTCGCCGCGACCGCATTCGAGGCTCCCACCGAGGAGAGCTCAAACGATCGGTGGCGCCATTTTCTGAGCGGATTCCTCCAACAGTGCTGCTCTGCCTCGGGCCCGAGAAACATGCCCAGATACTTGATGACTTCGACGATTTCGAAGGCGGCCCAGGACGGGATAAGGGCTTTCAACTTCAGTTTGTAGAGCTGTTTGATCGGGTCCGTGATGGGGCCGGCCAGGGGAAGTATTTGACACTTCGAAATATTCAGATGCAGAGCTGCAAGTTGGGCCGCAAGGCCAAATATGCGGAACAATTGCACGAGGTACTGCAGCTTGATGAGGGCCGTGCCTATGTCATCAGCGCAGAGTCTGACTATCCCGCGATGCTTAAGCTCTATCGTCGATTCGAAGTCAGCCACAAAGGGCTCCATGCTAACCGCAAACAGCGTTCCCGATCCAGGGCACCCTTGGATGATTCCAGCAAGGACAGGAAACATAAATAAAATCAGGCCTCCAAACTCCGAGTAGCAAATCACCCCCTGGTACAGTAAGACGATATAAGCCAGCAACGGGGGTGGAAGACCGATTTCTTCGAGGACCAGCAGCATCCACCGATGAGAGATCGACGGAAAAGCCTGCGCAAAGTCGAAGGCGGCTACGAGCGGCAGGTCCGTGCCAGCTGAAGGGACCATTGAGTAACACCTGGCAACAGCGTCCAATTCGACGATGTTGGTCCCAAACTGGCGTCCCTGGATAAAACCTCGTTGTAGTCTATTGGCAACCTTGGACCACTCCCTGGAGAACGAGAACATGATGGTGGCGGTGATGAGCTTGTTATCTGTGTTTTTGAGGCCCAGGGGTCGAAGCTTATCACAATCACGAACGCAACCTCCTCCATCTTGATCTCCTTCCTCCTCCCCCTTCGGAATGTAGACGCCCAGAAGGTGATTGAAACCCCAAAAAGCCCAGCCGCCGTCCAGGAGCCAGAACATCATCTCAGAGAGGGTCTCAAGAGCCTGGGGAGTCTTCTGCCAAGCCGCGTACGGGATACAGTCGGGACCAGGGGCACTGTGAGTTTGCTTTCTCAACACTGCAGACATCAGGCTCTTGGTCGGGGGCGGGATGTCACGCAGGTCGATGTGACCTGTGAACCTCTGGATGTAGGTCCGTGCCTTTTCCACAGGAGTATCTTTCGCACTGAAGATCTGGCCCCAATGCTCACTAATCGCTGAAGCCATGTCCAGCGGGTCGGAGAGAAGCTGATCTTTGCGGCGAATACCGCGCACATGTAAGCGGCGATCAAAAGGAGCCCAAAGTTTCGCACGCCTCTGCAGACGACGGAGACGCTGCCGTAGCTTTTTCTTCTCTGATTCGGGAGCTGCCGAAAGGTTTTTGCCCAGGCGTTTTATCTTGGTCATGTGGTCCGTTTCTTCCAGGGAATTGATCAGGTCCGCAAAGGCCCCAGGGTTCTCCAAGGAGATTCGGCTCGTCTCCGCGTCGTACTGAAGGTATTGCTTAGCAAGAGGGTACGCCTTGATGAGTTTCTGCCCCAGGGTGCAGTCCTGACGCCAGACGGCCCTGGAAATAGAACGGCAGAGAATGATACGTCCCAGGGTAGAGTCCGAGGCCTGTCCCAAGGAGGCGTTCCGAGCGAACCTGGCACCCTCTTTCATCAGCGTCTTAAGATACAAAAGTCGGATCGGCGGCGAGTACTGCTCGATGTCACCGCACTGGAGATAGGCCTGTACAAACCTGTCGTATTCGGGGGTGCCGAAGAGGTCTCGGTTGATGGCTCGCTCCTTATGGTGCTTCTGGCCACCCGGGTGGAAGTCAATCTTGATCGCTGCATGGTCTGACAGCCGTTGGTGGATCACAACCTCAGCGAGACCCTGCGTCACACCACATACGTTAAATTGCTTGAGTGCCCACCCAGGGAGAGAAGTGAAGGCCCTATCTATGATGCTCATCATGTCATTCGGCCTGTACACGTGGGTGGGGTCGAGCTGCTCAATTTCCACTAACTTCCCAAGAAGGTCCCTCCAGATGGCGTCCTGGGTGGCCCTCCAGGTCTGGCACCCTTCTCCAGGAGCAACAAAACTGGCAGGATTGACAGGGGTCGGAGGCGCGGCAGCTATATTGAAGTCACCTATGACGACGACGATTTTGTTGAGCGGGTCCTCTTTGGCCTCCTGGAGCCTCCCAAGAATGCGGTTAGCTATCTGGGTCTTCTCGTGCCTCTGGAGCCCATAGTTGTGGATATTGTAGTGAGCGATCCAAGCTGAGCCCCCATCAATCTGGATATCTGTAAAGAGAACCCTGCCCTGAACCAGAGGCTCACATGTAGAGTCAACCTCAAAGTCTACAAACTTGTGATCAGGGATCAGCGTGAGAACACCTCCCGCGGCGTTCGGCAAAAAACTGGCGTGGCAAGTGTACGGCTTGCGCAGAAAGTGGATCATGTTCCTGGCTTCTGCCTCTGTGCCGTGCGTTTCCTGTACAGCGACGATGGACGTGGGAGACATGAGGGAGGAGAGGTAGTGGAACTTCTTGGTCTTGGTGGAGGGGTCGAAGTGGAAGAGAGCATTTGCGTTCCAACTGGCAAAGCACAAAGAAGCCGAGGTGGGGCCAGGACCCAGCCAAGGCCTCAGGAACTTGTTAAAGAGACCACTCACCTTCCTCTGCGGTCGGAGCAGTAGTGCATCTGGAAACTCGCGCTGCCAGCCTCTGCTTGTCGAGACCCAGCGCCTGCAAGTTCGGGATGTTCCACTCCACAGAAGCCTGAGCGCCAGGCGGCGCAGGTGTAAATCGCAAAAGCTTCTTCCACGAAAGAGATAGTTCGCCGCGATCCTTGTCTGCATAGAATCGATGTTGGGGATATTCTGCTTCAAATTCTCTGCGTACGAGTTTGAGACCAAGCTCTCTACGAATGGTGGCCTGGTTTTTGTCGATGCTGATGAACAGGTCAGTGTGGCCTCCAGTGGGGAGCGCCGCGAAGAAGCGCCTCCACGTGTTGTCTCTCTGCTTGATTGCTCCCATCGCTTGGCGGAGAGCTCTGGATGCCAGATGCGGCTGACCCGTGAACTGGATGATGAACCGTTTCGCTGCTGGACCTTCCTCAGGGCGCTGGACCTCGTAGTCGTCAACGTCCAAGGCTGCGTCCAGCATCCATGTCTTGATGCCGTCACATACTGCTTGATGAGTAACCATCTCTTTCGAACGCACAACCAAAATGGTGGGATCCGTCGGACGGTTGAAGCCATTCGGCAACTCGATCTTCGGGGGAGGCGGCTCCGTCTTGACGATGTGAAGCTGCCGTTGTAAGTGCTCAATCTGCTTCTCCAGGTACTGCAATCTGTTGTCGTGGTCGTCCACTCGGGTCTCAACACGGTGCATTCGGGCTTCAACCTGCCGATCGATGCCTTCTGCATGAGACGCGAACGACCGCGAGAGAGCCGTGGCGCTGGACTGGATAGAGGCAATCGCTGCCATGACCTCCAGCTTCGTGGCGTCGACGTGGGCGCGCAAATCACTCTCCTCGGAAAGTGGCTGTGGTTCTCGAGGGCGACCAGGGCTGCCTGTGCCACCACTGCCAGAGCCAGGAAGGGTATCACGAGCATCATGAAATTCACCTTCAGCCACATCACCTGCCGCACCACCTGGTGCCGCGGCATGCGCAGACCTCGATCTGTCGCGAGCACCATCCTGATTTGCCGATGGTGTAGAGCCTGTGGTTCCTGCCATACTGCGCCGACACAGAATCTGTGTTGGCACCCAAGAATCAAAATAATTCACAGCAGAGCAAGAGACAGACAAACTGGGGTGCCGCCAGCGCACGACACGCTGGATCGCTCGGATGGAGAGCTGCCCGCTCAAAATGGGACCTGTTCCCACTTGAGCCAAAATGGCAACGGTCTCCTCCTCCTCCTCCTCCTCCTCCTCCTCCTCCTCCTCCTCCCTCCTCCTCCTCCTCCTTCCCCTCCTGCTCCAAACTCCATATCCGCGCTCCTCCCCCCCTCCTCCCTCCCTCCCTCCCCCCCCCCTCCTCCCTCTCCTCCTCCTCCTCCTCCTCCTCCTCCTCCTCCTCCTCCTCCTCCTCCTCCTCCTCCTCCTCCTCAGTGCCCCGGGGCCCTCAGGAGGGCCCCAAACGGCGGTCCGCGAGCGGCCGCGCCCGCCCGTGCCCCGGGCCCTGGCGCGCCCGCCCGCGCGCCGGGCCCGCTCGAGCTCCCCGGCCTTCGGCCTCGGCCTGGCCTTCGGCCTGGCCTGCGGCCGCTCCCGTCTCTGCCTCGCCGCTCCTCGTCGGCGCGCCTCCTCGGCGCCCTTTCCCCTCCTCGCGCTAGCGCTGTCCTCGTGCGAGTGTTCTCGTGCTAGTACTGTCCTCGTGCCAGTTCTGTCCTCGTGCTGTCCTCGTGCTAGCGCTGTCCTCGTGCGTCTTCCTACAGCAGCGCTGTCCTCGCGCTAGTGCTGTCGTCATGCTAGACCGCCGGTCCCAGGCCCAGGGGTGAGCCACCAGACCCCTGCGTTAGGTGCGCTGGCTGGCCTGGCGACCACCTCAGGCAGCGCTGATGAACGTGCGCGCCACCTCCCGGACCACCCAGGTGGCGATGGACCGGTAGAGAGTGCTGAGAGTCTCCTGTCGCCCAAGGCCCTCTGGCACTTGCTGCGCGAGCCACTTCCGGGTGGACTCGCCCATGGCTCCCGAGACTTCGTAGCCGACGGGCTGGACACCAGCGGTTCCGTTGTATTTGTGGCGCTTGGCCTGTTCGGCCAGTCTGGAAACGGTGCCTTGGGCGTGGGCCCCTCTGGCCTGCAGGCTCTGCTGCGAGGCCGGATGCACGATCGCTAGGTCAAGATAAGCCCACTGGCCGTAATTGTCGGTGCCTTGAGGTCCGCGCGGAGACCCGGATTGCCCGGCCCGGTGGGTGGGCGAATCCACGATTCGACTGCGATGTCGCAAATGTCGGCTTCACGTAGGTTTCGCGCGATAGTGTCGCGCAGGTTGTTGTGCCTCTTATCCATGAAGCCGCCATAGGAGCAGCAGAGCGCGTGCCTGGCGTCCGTAAGTGTCGACGGTGCCGGCGCAGTGGGTTCCGTCCTCCTCCTCTTCCTCCACCTCCTCCTCCTCCTCCTCGCCTCCTCCTCGCCTCCTCCTCCTCTTCATTTTCCACGGCCTCCGCCTCCGCTCACTTCGTCGCCGACGTCTTCAGGGTCGGCGGCACCAGCCGTCAGGCCTTCGCAGTCAGAGCAATGCCAAGCAACGATAAGCAATGCCATGCAATTCAAAGCGATTCCAAGCAATGCCAAACAATGCGTGGCAACGCCACGCAATGCAAAGTAATGCGAAAGAGTACTTTGCGTTGAAATGCTTCGTATTGTCCAGTACTTCACTGAGATGTTTTGGAAATGAGACACCTGAAGTTGGGGCCGCCTTCCACAAGCAACATTGTTGCTGGTAGTATGATAGAGAGCGGCTCCCTTTCAAAAGCGGGGCCGTCGCCGTACACCTCCCTGCAGTGCACTTTCGCCCTGGACGCGGTCCATGCAGCTCGTAGGCTCGGGAAGGCCGTCCTTTCTCGAAACGGAGCCCCCGCCAGAATTGCGGGCCCATGGCGCGCTCGAATCTTAAGCGGGCGCTCCGCGCAGTGAAAAAGGAATGCTTGCAGGAACCCGTGGAGGAGGGGCCCTGGGACGGGACGGTGTATCGCAGCAGCGTTGATCCAACTTTGGTTTACTCTGGCCTTTCTCCTCAGTCTTCCTTCCTGAGTCTCCTCCATTGCTGCTCTATCTATCAATGAGCTCCCGTCTGTCGCACGGCGTTCGCATTGGACGTTCTGGCACAACACTAAACCGAAGCTGAACAACTGACGTTTGTTGTTTCCAACATGCGGATCTCTTGCCTCAGCGCCGCGCACATTGATTTTAAGAGCTTCCATCACAACCATGGAAGGCCAATGGGTTTCAAAATGCGGCTCTCGCCGTAACGTAACCCACGTTCGCGTCAACCACTTCCAACAGTTACAAGGGTGGAGGCAAATTCGTGTTCAAAATGCTGCTCTTGCCTTTGCGCCGCGTGCAATTGTCTTGCAACAGATCCGACAGTTACATGGATGGGGTGGGGTCGTTCCCAAACTGTGGCTCCGATCGTAGCGCCGCGCACACTCGTTGCGAGGTTCCAACAGCTGCAAGAAAGGAGGCCGCTTCATGTTCAAACTGCGCGTTTCGCTCCACACTTCTTCGAGTTCTACGACCCGCAGTGCCAACCAATGCAACACGACTTCCCTTCCAAGATTGGGCTCTAGCTTGAAAGCATTGAGGCTTGAGCAACACCTCGACGGATCGATGGTAGCTCCTCTTCAGAACGGGGCTGTCGCTAGACGCTACCCTGAGCTTTCTCGTCCTACCTCTCTGCGAGATCCGTTTGGCTGAAGATGGAGGGCGGGTCATTTACAAAACGGAGTCTCGCGGGAATGTCAAGTCTGGCGGGCGCTCGTCATTCAAGGATCCGCCACAATGCCGCGAGGAACTGAGTGGCATGCCCTCAGGGGCCTCTACATCTATATATATATGTATACATACATACATACATACATACATACATACATACATACATAAATACATAAATACATAACTACATACATACAAACATACAAACATACATACATACAGACATACAGACATACAGACATACAGACATACAGACATACAGACATACAGACATACATACATACATACATACATACATACATATGTATATATGTATATATATATATTGAATATGAAAGTACTCTCCATGGGGCACCCACGTGGCGGATGTTCTGGGGCTGCACGCGAGCCTCCTGGGGCTTGTCGCGTGATTTTCCATGTGGCCCGAGAGTGCCAACACTGTCGAACAGGGACGCAGGAGGCCATCAAGACGGTCCAAGAGAACCCCGAAACGACTCAAGGCGGCCTAACGGGGAGGGCTCCAAGAGCACTCCTGGGAGGACCCCCCCAAGGCAACACTCATTGATTCCCCTCATGATTTCGAGCGGAGTTGGCGCTGCAGCCTTTTCGGGCTTCCAGCGCTCCACGACGACCCGAGAGCCAACCAAGATCGCCCCAAGATGCCCACACGACGGCCATGGAGGCTCCCAAGCGCGCCCCAATAAGAGAAATCGAAGAGGCATTTCGAGCCTGCCCTCCAATAAATATGCCCTCCGAGACCGCCACCAGGTCCCCAAAAAGGTCCCCAAGATGCCCGGAGAGGTCCCAAAGAGGCCCGACGCGGCACCACGAATACCTCCAACATGCCCTCGAAATGCATCCCAAGAGACCCCAACAGGCATCCAAAACGTCTCTGGCCCACAACCCATGTGCGGTGGTGGGAGGGGTCGAAGGCCACTGGCTTCTTGTCGAACCTGGGACGGGAAGGTGTATTGCAGCATCGGTGCTGGATCATGAGTGTATTGTGGTCCTTCTTCGCATCCTACCCCACCCCCTCCATCCCTCCTCCCCCTGTTAAGGGGGGGAATGGGTGGGATCAGACCGCAGCGCACCTTGCGCCAAACATGGCAGCGGCAACGACAGATCGCCCGAAGCCTTTCTGGTCAACATGGAGTAGTTCAAGGCGTGCTCCGTGATCTCTACATTGCCAACGCTATAACATACTGCCAGTCCGGCAAGCACTGCCTGGCGAGGGGTGAGCATCGAATGCAGCTCTACTGCGGAACCAAGCGGGGATGGATACGTGTATATTTGTACGCGTGTACACACATAGAACGGCAACTTAAACATACATATACATACCTGTAAACAGAAGAAACGGAGACACACGCATACATGCATACATATGACAGAGCGCGTTTCACGGGCGCTGGCCTTGGGAACATCCGGCGGCGCGTTTCGAAACGGGCGGTGCCCCGCGGCGCCGTCGACCAGAACCAGGGGGCCAGGGGGATTCACCCCCCCCCTAAACCCCACCCCCCTCCCAAGGGAGGGGGGGGTCCAAAACCCCCCCCATCCCCGGCGCCGGCGCCGACGCAAACGGCCGCCGCAGCGCCAGCGCAGCGACGATGACCAGCGAGGGCCCAGAAGAGGGGGGGGTCGTGAAACCCCTCCCCCCCCAGCGCCGGCGCCTGCGCTGGCAGCGGCCAGCAGCGCCGACGGCGGGAAGGCAGCGACGATGACCAGAGAGGGTCCAGAGGCCGCAGAGGGACCACACAAATCGTCGTATCGAGACCTTTCTGAGGATACCTCAAGAGGCATCCATTAAAACTCTGACCCAAAGCCAAAGCACAGTGGCGGGAAGAGCAGAAGGCCACGCCACCACCACCGATGAACTTATCAAAGCCCCGGAGGTCTTCGATGGCAACGAGAATGAAGAATAGCAAAAACATCCGGGATGCTTTCACACCGCCGCTGCGTAGACTCAAGGGCCCTCGAAGGTTTGGGCCACAATGCCGATGGTACGCTCGCTATGCTACAATCATGCTTTGCTCTTTAACACACGATGTACAGCGTATATCTCACACCCGTGAGATGATACAAAAATTAGCCTGACGAAAGACCCAACCATACGTAGTTGTGAATACCGCAATTGTGGATACATTCCTCGGTGGCGCTCCCTATGGGACCACGAAACGTGTGAGGGGTGTGCCACAATGGGGCGGCGGCGCCATGCGAGTTGCGCCACTTGGACCTGAGATGGAGCTCCCAGTGGGGCCACGGAACGTGTGAGGGGTGTGCCAAAATGGGGCGGCGGCGCCATGCGCACTGCGCCACGGGGACCTTAGGTGGAGCTCCCTATGGGGCCACGAAACGTGTGAGGGGTGTGCCGAAATGGGGCGGCGCCGCCTATGGGGCCACGAAACGTGTGGGTGTGCCGAAATTGGGGGGTGGAACCGCATGCGAGCGCAGCCACTGGGGCGTTCGGTGGAGCTCCCTATGGGGCCACGAAACGTGTGAGGGGTGTGCCAGAATGAGGGGTGGAACCGCATGCGAGCGCAGCCACTGGGGCCTTCGGTGGAGCTCCCTATGGGGCCACGAAACGTGTGAGGGGTGTGCCAGAATTGGGGGTGGAACCGCATGCGAGCGCAGCCACTGGGGCCTTCGGTGGAGCTCCCTATGGAGCCACGAAACGTGTGAGGGGTGTGCCGAAATGGGGGGTGGAACCGCATGCGAGCGCAGCCACTGGGGCGTTCGGTGGAGCTCCCTGTGGGGCCACGAAACGTGTGAGGGGTGTGCCGAAAAGAGGGGTGGAACCGCATGCGAGCGCAGACGCTGGGGCCTTCGGTGGAGCTCCTATGGGGCCACGAAACGTGTGAGGGGTGTGCCGAAATGGGGGGTGGAACCGCATGCGAGCGCAGCCACTGGGGCCTTCGGTGGAGCTCCCTATGGGGCCACGAAACGTGTGAGGGGTGTGCCAGAATGGGGGGTGGAACCGCATGCGAGCGCAGCCACTGGGGCCTTCGGTGGAGCTCCCTATGGGGCCACGAAACGTGTGAGGGGTGTGCCAGAATGAGGGGTGGAACCGCATGCGAGCGCAGCCACTGGGGCTTCGGTGGAGCTCCCTATGGGGCCACGAAACGTTGAGGGGTGTGCCAGAATTGGGGGTGGAACCGCATGCGAGCGCAGCCACTGGGGCCTTCGGTGGAGCTCCCTATGGAGCCACGAACGTGTGAGGGGTGTGCCGAAATGGGGGGTGGAACCGCATGCGAGCGCAGCCACTGGGGCGTTCGGTGGAGCTCCCTATGGGGCCACGAAACGTGTGAGGGGCGTGCCGAAAAGAGGGGTGACGGGAGGAGGGAGGAGGGGGGAGGAGGAGGAGAGGAGAGGAGAGGAGAGGAGGACGCGGGGCACCGTCTCTTCAAAACGAAGACCCAACACCACAGGATGGTTGGGAAAAAAATCTCGATGGTCTTGTCCTGCTACGCACTCGAAAGCTCTCGACGAATGTCCACCCACCCCCGCGCTTCCTCCCCACCAGCCAACGTGCGACCCCCTTAATCACGCGAGCGCAAAGCAAACGCTCCAACGAGTGCAGAACACAATTGCAAAACATCAGCGATGGTATTGTCCTTCTGAGCCACCGACCTACGTGCGACCCGTCGGTAGCGCATGCGCAGGGCGAGCGCCCGAACGAGCCCCCACGTGTGCGAACGCAGCCATTGGTGCCTTCGGTGGAACTCCTTATGGGGCCACGAAACGTGTGAACGTGTGCCGAAATGTGTGCGGTGGGCGCATGCCAACGCAGCCACTGGGGCCTTCGGTGGAGCTCCCTATGGGGCCACGAAGCGTGTGAGGGGTGTGCCAGAATGGGGGCGGCGGGCACATGCGAACGCAGCCACGGGGGCCTTGGGTGAGGCTCCCTATGGGGCCACGAAGCGTGTGAGGAGTGTGCCGAGTTGGGTGCGGTGGGCGCATGTGAACGCAGCCACTGGGGCCTTCGGTGGAGCTCCCTGTGGGGCCACGAAACGTGTGAGGGGTGTGCCGAACTGGGTGCGGTGGGCGCATGCGAACGCAGCCACGGGGGCCTTCGGTGAGGCTCCCTATGGGGCCACGAAGCGTGTGAGGGGTGTGCCGAAATCGGTGCGGGGGGCGCATGTGAACGCAGCCACTGGGGCCTTCGGTGGAGCTCCCTGTGGGGCCACGAAACGTGTGAGGGGTGCGCCGAAATGGGCGCGGTGGGCGCATGCGAACGCAGCCACAGCCTTCGGTGGAGCTCCCTGTGGGGCCACGAAACGTGTGAGGGGTGCGCCGAAATTGGGTGATGACGATGACGATGATGATGATGGTGGTGATGATGACGTCGATGATGTCGATGGTGATCATGGTGATGACGATGACGATGATGGTGATAATGATGACGATGATGATGATGATGATGATGGGAGGGGGAGGAAGGGGAGGAGGAGGAAGGAGGAGGAAGGAACGCGGGGCGACGTCTCTTCAAAACGAGGACCCAACACCACAGGATGGTTGGGCACAAAACAGGGAGAAGTCCTCCCTTCAATATGAAGTGCGAAATCTAAAGCCCCACGGGTATGACATGCACAAACTGCATGAATCTGAACAACATAACTGGCAATATAAACTGACCGTAAAATCTACTGAAACTGCGCTGGTGCGTTGGCTCACTCACAGTAGCCCTCCCTGGGGCAGTCATCTGCTGACTGGTTGTTGTCATCATGCCGCTCGCTGGGTTCAGCCACCTCCACTGAAACTTCGCCTGCGCGCCTGAACCCATTCATCTTGTAACAAAACCGCCACTGACCCCATTTCAAACAGTAAGTGGCCATGCTCTGAACGCCGACCGTCCGCCGTCGCACCTGCTTGTGGTTGCTGCTCGTCCTCTTGAGGTGGATGGTCGTCCACCTGTCGTTGCTGGTCGTCGCTGTCTCCTCGGTTGTCTCGCGTTCGTTGCTGGTCGTGGTCTGGTGCTTCACTCTGGAGTCGCCTTGCTGCTCCGCAAACTCTCGAAACGCAAAATCGACTGCTGGAATTGCCACTGCCATTCAAATCATCATGAACGCTAACGCATCCAAAACACCTCCAGAAAACCACGAGCACTTCACGATCTCGTCGTAGTCGTACTTGTACTCTGTGTTGTAGTCGAACTCTGGAGCGCAGGTTGCCGCTGACTTGCGAAAGCACGTTGCGAAGACTGCTAACTGCATGAGTGGCGATCTTGCTGACTTGGTAGCTGATGATGTCTCCAGCTTACTATTCCTGATGATCCCCTGTCGCTCCTCCTTAGTCTTCTTCTTCTTTGCTGCTGTATGGGTAGGGTCGCGCTGTAGCTGAAGTCGTCATGCTCGAAGTCTGTCGGCGAAAAGCTGTCTTGCAACGAAACTTCGTGAGTCAATCCGCATGCTGCCGCACTGACGAGACCCCCTTCTACCGCGTCTGCGTAGCCTCCATCCGTTCTCGTAGTGCCAGTACCTCGATGCCGGTACGCTTGTCCTGGAAGCAAGTGATGCTCTCCTTCTTGGCTGCGTCGTAGAATGCCTTGGCGTCGATCGCGAGTGCTGACTCCACTGCAAAGCGCGTGCTCTCGTCGACGGCTACGTTGACACTGTCGTAGATGAGGGCCACCCAGAATCGCTTCGCAAATTCTAGTGCGTCCATGCCTGCTGCTGCTGCTGCTGCTTGCGATTCTGTATGTAGCGATGACGCGGCTAGCCCCGTTAGCTTGAAAGACTTCCAATTAACAACGCAAAAATCTCAGTCCTCGCCATCGAATACCTTCGAATGGTATGCCATGATCACCCATCCTCCCGACTAGATCCGTCTGTCGTACTCCCCAAGCTGCGTCCATCATCGCCACTAGCGCGATGCTGCTGGCCTTGTCAATCTTCTTCATTTTGGGGCCGACGTCCACGTTCTGCCTGTAGAACCTGAGCGTCTTGCTTACTTCTCTTGCTGTCGCCGCTGGAAGCTGCCCATGGCGAGTGCTGACCGACGCTGGCGCGCGTGGGCACGCTTGCGAACTTGGCCACTGTAGTGCTCCAAATAGTCCTCGAAGCTGGCGCATCTCCTTTGGCGTGAGTAGTCGGTCGGCGTTGCCGCCCCCCCGGTCAATCGCGATCGGTTTGAGGCTGGGAGAGTAGGACTGCATCTTGATGTTAACCTCGGTGCCGTTGGAGCGCTTACTGCCCCAGTAAATGGTCTGGTGTAAGTCCGATCCACGG